CAAGGCTGTGACCTTACAGGTCATGATCAAGGTTGACTACAGGTGAGGCAGGAAAGATAACTGTTGGAGGTTGTGCCCACCGTTACTGGGATTTGTACAGTCCCAAAACAAAATGAAACATCCACATCTGAAACACTGAAGAGGATTGGGTGCATATGCGTGGCCACTGTCAAATATTTTAGTGATTATAGTTCTACAAAGAGCAGTAAGCAGTAAGATGTGGCCCAAACAGTATAACTATGAGGCCTTTCGTCTTTCTTGACACACAGTAGGGTAAGAGTTGCTGTTTGTTGTAAAATTCTGGAGACGGGATCTCAGACGGTATAGAAAGAAGCAAGTGGGGGTGACAGGAAGTCAGGGTGCTGCCAGGAAAAGGTTTAACCAAAAGGACACTTGTAATAGTCTACACCAGTGGCCATGACAAACATCACAGACAACAGAACGTCCTAAACAACAGAGCCATTTTATTCTCGTAGTTCTGCAGGATGCAAGTCCACGATCAAGCCTCTGGCTGGTTGGGTTCCTAGTGAGACTTTTTCTAAATATCATACCTTTGGGGATTGGAGATTCAACAACAGGTGGATTTGGGGAAGATGTGTTCCATCCCCGGCAATGCTCTTTTGCTTACTTACTACTCCCCAAACAGTTTGTTTGTGCCAGACTTTGTTCCCTCCCATGGGGGCAAATTACTAGGGTCCCAATTAACCCCTCTCTCATACTTCACCAACAATTTGGAGAGAGAAAGCATGCAAAGGACATGAGAACCCAATGATGGGGGAAAGCATCAGGGAGGCACTACCAAGTGTTAGGGTAAGGAGTGGAGAGATCAAGGAGGGATTCTTGGAAGAGGTGACAGGGCGGACAAGATGAGCGTAACTCATGGACCACAGCTGGAAGCGTGTGGTCCTCATCTCTCTGGACCTGCCGTTAGGAGGACTGTGACTACCAGCAGATGTGCTGATGCAGCCCCCAACCTCCAACCCCGTCATAAACACAGAGACATACCAGGAAGAAATGCCTGAAGCAGACACTAACATCTAGCCAAGAAAGAAGGAGCATAAATGAAATCCTCATGGGCCAGAAATGAAGAAGCAACCAGAACTAGAGCAGGAAAGAAAAGTCAACTCTGCTAGCTGGGAGCTGGGGTGGAGGTGGGCAGTGGCAGGAAAAGATTAGACCCAGGGACTCCAGCTGAACATCAGTGCCACTCAAACAGGACTGATGCCCAGACATCTGGCCACTCCACCAGCCCTTTCTTGTGTTGGGTATTTTTAAGATGGGGTCTCAGGAGCTATTTGCCTGGGGCTGGCTTCAAACCATGATCTTCCTGATCTCTGCCTCCTGAGTCGCCAGCATCTGGCCCTGGGATTTAAAAAAAAAAAAACTGTCTCATTCACTACCACAGCTTCACCCAAGCCATGTAAAGAGACAAGTTCTAGACCCAAGATTCCGTCCCTCTCCGCGGAGATCCAAGTCCTGTCACACACACACACACACACACACACACACACACACACACACAGGTGTCCTGCTGCCGCAGGCACTGCTAGGGCTTTATCTGGGGTCCCTCAGGTCCTGATTATCATTCCCATGCAAATAAGTCTGCATTCTAGAAGCCAACACCAGTCTCTCTGACAGAGGTAATGAGCCCATTTATCTGCAGGAATGTTTGGACAATTCTGAGGAACTTCTATCTTGCCAGCAACAGCTTCTCCTCACTGCTGACAGATGTGGGGTGCAAATGCCCGGCTCCTCCACCCCTGACAGCGTTCACAGCTCCTCTGTGCACTGTTCCTGAGACTGGACAGAGCTCCAGTCTGCCTTCCTTCCACATCACTTCTCCCCTCTCTTCCTTATATTCCTTTCTCCTCTCAGTTCACCTTAACCGCTGAAATTCTTGGGAAACCAAAGTCAAGACACTCCTTATACTCCATGCTTCATAGATTTCCTTCAGAGGTCCTCCTCCCACATGCCCTATTTCAGAACACAATATGGCCGTCTGCCTAGTTGAGCTAGAAATGCCGCCCTTCCATCTATCATCAACCCCTGGAACTTCAGCTTCGCATGTCTCTTAGATCCATGTATCCTATCTGCCCTTTCACCACCTTACTCCAAACCTCTACTCCAACAGACCCTCACAGGTCTTCTCAAAGCACCCTTCCCATCTCCATGCATCACATGCCCCTCAGAATAATTCTAAAATAGCAACAGATTCATTTATTTCCTCGCTAAAATCTACCAAAGTCTCACTTTGCCTTTGAAAAGGCCATAACTCTTCATTAATGCACACATACACACACCCTTCTAACATTGGCCTTGGTCCTCCCTACAGTTGAAGCACTTCCCAATATCCCTTCATCTGCTTAGCTTTTATTAGCCATGGGCCTCGTTTCAGGCTTCCTTTGCCGCATTAGACATTCTTCTCCATCCTGGACAGGTCCAGGTCCTCTTTCCCTGGCCTTCTGAACCCTCAGAGCCTTCTGCCACCAAAGCACTCATCAATCTCCTTTGTCAGTCTTCTGCCACCAAGGGACTTCTGACAGCAGAGGCCACCAGGGGACTTCTGGTGGCAGAGGCCACACTTTGTTGACCTCTGATTGAGGAAACCAGGACTCTGCCCAGATCTCCCTCCAATGCTTTTAGAGAAGCAGAAACTGCATTCTGATCTTGTGTGACCCCCTGGGGGACATTGCTGTCATGGGCCTCCCACCCCCTTGGCATGTCCTAGGCTATAGCACCTCAGTTTTCCTGAGGAGTCCAGTGAATGAGCTCTGCTCTCCCCCTATGTACTGTTGAGTTTCATGGCGGAAAAGAGTGTGATGCTCCCACACTGGCAATGAGAAGCTAAAAAAGTTAATCACAGATGTTTGAGATTCCATAAACACCACCGTAAAAAGCCAAGTGTCTCCCAGGTTCCATGCAGAAAAAGCCAATTCTGAAGATCAGGTTTACCATCCTAATGTAGATTCCTTTCATTCCATGAATGCCTAGATAAATGAAATTATATTGTGCTTGTGCCCAGCAGCAGAATTCTGAGATTTTTTTCGCCTTGTCTTATTTCAGCCACACAATGATTGCATTACTGGATAAACTAGGAAGAAGAAAAAATTGAAAGCTGATAGAATCTCCTAGAGAGGCTGATTCTTCATCCTTCATGCTAATGGCCTCCCTGAGGGCATTAGACAATCCACAAGGGGGAAGAAAAAGGAAGAGACCAAAAGATAGAGCTCCTTTTTCCTTCAAGCTGAGATCTTGCCCTACCTGCTCTCAAGTTCTTGAAATGAACTGGGTGTCTCACAGGGAAGCTTCTTAGCCGTCCTTCCCTACACCCTCCATGGCGTTCTCTAGGAACTGGCCAGCAGGCCCCCTACCACACAGAGGCAGGTGCTGGCCAAGGGTCCGAGGCCTGGGACTTCTGACATCCTGGGACTCCTGACATCCTGGGACTGTCATCTTCTAGCAGCAACCAGGATGGTCCCTATGTGCCATGATCAGAGCTCCTATCCAGCATCATCAGAAGTCCCTGTCTCTCCTTCTGCCTCCACAGTGAGACCTTTGAAGGAAGTCACTTTAAGGCTTGTCTCTTACTGTTCCCCAAGCCAGGAAAGATTTTCTGGTACATTTTGAATACCAAATAAATATGCTTTAATCAGTGAAGGAAAGAATTAATGGTCTTCAATATAATAAATTTGCTACTTGTTTTTGTCCACATTTTATATCCTTTGACAGTTTGGAGAATTCTCCATTGCAGAGCATGGTGGGAAACAAAAGCTATCCTCCAAGGTGATGAATGAGCACCCAAAGATCTTGCTTCCCCAAACTTCTGTGCAGTCAGCCTTGTGACTGAGATTCTGCCAGTTACACATAGTATCTGGACTTGAACCAGAGCTAGAAGGGCCAAAAGTTGGGATTAGGAGAGAAAAGGCACGAGACAGAGAGAGAGAGAGAGTTGTGAATATTTCTGGAATGTGCATGACTTGCTGCAGAATGGTGGTGTGTTGGTGGTGGCTGCCATCAAGTCTGTTCTGGTATCTTATGAAAAGTGGTAATTCACAGATCCTCAAACCCAGTTCAGAGGCACAGGTAGGATGTGGTTCCTGGAAGCTGAGCCTCAAGCCCAGTTCTCCCCCATAATAATAATAATTCCATGTCCTCTTAATAAGTTCCTATCTTGCTTAATCTGCCGGGACCAGGTACTACTGCTCACAAATGAAAAAGACTCTCTTTTGATGCACTAGGAAAGCTATTCTCAGAAATGCCCTGAATATTACTAATAAGAAAGTACTTTTTAAACTTTAGAGTCAATGAACACTTGAGGGATCTTTAGAAACTAGCTAAGAAAAAGGCCCAGCCAGACAGTTGCAGTTCTGTAGATTCAACCCAACTGTCCTCTGGGGCCTCTCTGAGCCCACCCTGTAGGGAGCCACAGTGAACAATCCCAGCAAACATATCTATGTGGAAAAGCAAAGCTTTTGTTGCTTCCTCAAAGAGAAAGCTTTACACAAGGCGAGAGATGAAAAGTAACCTTGGCTGAGGAAGAATTTCCATCTCTGCAACCTGCTTAGCTTTTGTTCCAGAAAAGGGAGAAATCTGAGAGTTACCCTAAAGGGGCATGGCTAACCAGCAGGGACCAGCTCCAGCAGGACTTGTGTCTACTTGGATGTCTGGGGTTCTTGTGCCTGGACTTAATGAGCCATGAAAGGGGAAGGACTCCTACTATGAACTGCCTTGCCAGGAACCCCTCAGAATACTCTAATCTGGAAAATAAAACAGGCCTGGCAGGAGGTGCCAACTGAGAGCAAAATCCAGTCCCAGCAAGGCAGAGAAAATGTACCCACATGACTTGGAGATTACTCAGGGAAAATGACATGTGGGTTAGTTATTAGAACTTCACTCAGGATTGCCCAACCTCCTTCAGCTTGACTGTGAGGTGGTGCAACCCAGCATCACTGTATAAATACAGTCACACTCCAGCCTCAGAACACTTCTGTCGGCTCAGCTTCTGAAGAGTCTCTGGTTCTGTCTGCACTCTGAGCCTAGGGTCTGTGGCCACCATGAAGACTCACTGCTTTCTGCTACTGATGTTCTGCTTCCTCTTCTTCCAGATTGCTCCAGGTAAGCCTCGGGATCTGCTGGATGACTTCTAAGTCATCTCTAAGGAGAGCTGAGGGGAATTACCTCCTATTCCTGAGCGACAGGCAGCAGGAGAGCATCCTGAAAGCAATCAGCAGCCTTCAGGGTCTGCGCGGTGTCTCCTGGGCAGAATAGCAACGGGGCTGGCTGGCAGAGATGCAGGGCTGGTGAAGAGCAGTTCCCAGCATCTCCAAGCCCCAGCATTGCCCTGGCCATGGAGGACCATCCTGTGTTGGAAGGAATTCTGCTTCACCTGCAGGAAGGATCCTCACACCAGGAGGCCAGCTTCCTATGCAAAGAGAGGCACCCACACCCTCACCCTGGGTCACTGGGTGGGGCCTCCCCAGGTGCCCTTTGGCAGGACAGGTGCCACCACCCCTCCCAACAGGCCAGCTCAGAGAGGACATGAACTAAGCAATTATGCAGGCAGTCAGGGGACCATAAGTGACCTTCTACCTTCCCTGGGACATCTAGATACATGCTCCAGTCAGTCAGCAAGAGTGAGGTGTTCCAGTCAGAATAGAGGATGTCAGCTTCTTTGTGCCAAAGCAGTGGTGTCCCAGATGTGGGATAAGGTGTGACCTTGCAGGAGGAATCAAGGACATATTTTCCCAGCTCTGTCACTCACGGTAACCTTAAGCAAGTAACATATTTCTGAGCCTTAGTTTCCTCATTATGTATTATGAGCTGCATAATGAGAGTCCTAAGCAGATATCAGAGCTTGGAAATTCTCTGGAAGACACTAATCCTACTTTTCTCCAGGCTGTGACTTTATCCTACAGATGTGCTGAATTGACTCCAGTTGTGCCTCAGCTCTCCCTGTATACAAAAGCATTCTCAATGCCAAGTTTTTCATTGAGCTGGTTGAGACTCATTAGGGAAGCAGACAAATTAACAATTTTTAATAATTAGGCAATAACAGAGCCTGCCAGGCAAGACAGCACGTGCTGTTTGATTTTAGTCCTGTTTGGTTTGTATGTGCGAATATGTTTTTGTTCACTAAGAACAGTCCAAACTCAAAAGTTTTAAAGCAGCTTTTCCAGCGTAGAGTTCTTATTTCCATCTATAACATATAAGTGTGACGACGAGCAGCCCATTCAAATAAGCCAGTGTCCAGAGGGTGAGCAGGACCAGCTTCACTTCCTTAACTTTTATTATCAGATTGAAGCTGACACCAGGGAGCACATGTGTCAGGGTCACTTAGAGACTCTGGCGAGGCTGCTCTACTCTGTGCTTTTAGGTCACATAAGTCCTGTTAGTCAATATCTGAATTCTCCATCTCACCTTCTAGAAAGAGCAAAGAGCAGAGAGCCCACTCACAGCCAGGGAGACTCTGAGCCCCTGAGGTCCCAAGGTCAAATCACTAGCACTTTGGAGCCACTGCTGTCCTGCAATGTTCCACTTGGACCCCAGGGAGGGACACTGCTTAGGATAAACAATTTCCTCTAGAATTTATGTCCTGGCCTGAGCTTACATGTCAGGAGCAGGAGGAAGAACCTACTCCACATATATCTTCTGCATTAAACACAGGTTCCCGACCATTTCTCCTGCACCTTTGCATATGCTCTGCCTCACTTTTTTGTCATGGGTTTTTGTTTGTTTGTTTTGTTTTGTTTTGTTTTTCTTGGAGGGGGAGGTTTCTGGTTTGCTTTTTAAAAATTTAAGGTGTAGATGACAAATATAAATTGCATACATTTTTGGTACACAGAATGACGTTCTTGTTGTACAAACATTAGTAAAATAAGTTAGATCAAGCCAGTTAAAGTATCCATCACTTGACGTATTTTTTGTTGGGATTCTTGTCATGATTCCTGCTGTTGCTCCATCCTCACTGTCTGAAGGCCAGCCCTGCCTGCTAGCTAGACACTAACTGCTATTGCCTAGAAGGTGGTGCCTGCCTGGCCTGGTCTGTGGCTGCCCTGTTTCCTACAGGACACAATTCTACTCCCTTTTCTGGAAGAATCCTGAGCTGGCCTGGACATTTCACACCTGGCAAAACCCAGGCCTGTGGAATCTCATAGATGTGACCTTCTAGGTGTAGGGCTGCCCACTTTCTTCTCCTGGGAATGGTGCTTCTGTGAACAGAGAATGAGAAGAATATGATGAGGCCACTGTCGAGGTCTTTGGAAATCCAGGGCTCTCAAGGCTGTCCATGCACTGGCTGAGAAAATACTTATGAACAACTGAAGGCAAGAATTGTCCTGGGTTGGGGAAAGAGCCAGGAAAACACAGGCCCTCAGTCTTGGGACCTTCCTCTCTAAAATCAGAGCTTAATATGAAAAACTGATAGCAATTAAATACAAAACTACGGCTAGGTTGTGACAGGCTGTGGAACACAGCTGCCAAGAGAACTGTCACAGGAGCTGACCTGAACTAGAGGCAAAAAGAAAGGCTTTTATGAGGAGGCTGGGCTGATAGGAGAAATAGTGGTTTTGATGTGTATAGTGATTATAAAACATAATTCATTTTCAACAATTAAGAGTCAAGGTATGTCACATAAAATTTAGATTTTGATGTTCTTTTGAAAACACAGGTTTGGCAGCATTACACAGTGAGCTGCACCAGAACAGGGGCTACTTCTCTAGACAGGGACCCCCCCACCCCAGGTCACCACAGTTCCTCATTCCCTATGGCCTTCCCTCAGCCATTGGGCACACAGCCCAGGTACATGTGGCTGCTTAGGGCACTGAATGTGCAGCTCGGGATAAAGTGCGTTTGTGATAGGTGAGAAGGCAGGTGGTTGGAAAGGCAGCATGTGTGAAAGCCCAGAGTCACAGAAGAATAAACGTTATCACCCTTATTTCCATGTAATCCTTACAAAGCCCCCGTGAGGAGCAAAGAATCGTTATCCTGAATCACATGATTGGTGGTCAGTGGCTCAAGGGATCGAACCTGGCCTTCAGCTCCCATGTTGCCTCAGAGGGACTCTTGAGATTCATGGTGTGGCTGGTTCTAAAGGAGGCAGCATGGAAGTGGAGGGAATCCATGCATGTCTGGGGCCAGATCAACTGAGGTTTGCAGGGCAGGGCTCACATCTGGAGTTAAGGAGCTCAAAAGGTTGTAACTGGGACATGAAGAAAAAGGAAAAGGGTTCTTCAAAGACCAGTTGATCTGGATGCTGGTTTTTCCAAGGGGCTGATGACAGGCCAGCCAGAGGTTAACAAGAGTGGTGTCATAGCAGCCTCTGAGCCTTCTCCCATCAGCAAAGTCATCTCAATTACCTCTGTATTGTCCCTGTGCACCAGCCCTGGAGGGCAAAAAATCAACTGAGCCCACAGAAGCTGGCATTATTGGCTCTACCACCTCCTCCTGCTTTCCCTGAAGGCTCCACCCACACTGCTGCCAGGCTAAGCCCAGTTCCTACCTTGAACATAAGGTATAGGCAAATGATTCCAAACTCCAATATCCTCTGGCCCTCCCAGGCCCACACCTGAGGATCTCACCAATTGCCCTAATTCCTTCTATCTCTTTAACCTCTAGCAACAGTTCCCAGGAACCCACCTGCCGTGACAGGCAGGCTAGCCTCAGACACCAGGCTAGAATGGGCACTTGGTTATCAGGATTTGGGGGTGGGTTTCTCCCAAAAGCACCAATCAGGACAAAGCCTTAAGAACACTTTATAGCTGAGATGCAGCTCTAAGATGGTCATTGTCCTCAATCTCCAAATAACCCTGCCACAGAGTCTGCTGTGATGCCTACCCCATACATAATTACATACTCAGAGGAGTTGACATTCACATGATAGCCAGCAATGACAGGGACACACATCCAGCTCCGACCCCCACCTTGCATTCTTCCTCATACTCCCCCAAGACCAGCGTTGTCTCCTGTCACACATTCCACCTCAAGAATCTTCTAGACAGAAAGTACACTGCAGATTCCAGAAAGTTAACCAGAGGGAATACTGAGAACTGGTGGCCAGCTCCAGTTTCTTGCTGAATGTGGGGCTTCATGGGCTACCTGAATTCAGGAGAGACCCTGCTTCTTTTGACATTTCCAAATTAGCTTGGAAATCTGTTTGGCAGGAGTGGCCTGTTGATTTCTTCCCCAGATAGCGTCAACACATTCATAGAAATGACCCCTGATCCTCTCAGTCCCCAGATAATTGCCTTAACATCAACAACCCACAATGAAGTGCCATCATCCTTTATTTTAATACCCACAATGTGAGAGCCTGCTTGCTCCTGGGACCTTCCCAAGACACTGACCACTAACCACCTTGTCCTAACCAGAGGAAAGTGCTTTCGATAACTTACCAATGTACAGAAGGTTCTGAAAAGCTATGTCCTGCCCTATCTCCTCAGTCTCTCTCCATGTCAAACCCATTTATTTATCACCAGAGGTTTGAAGCCTATAGAGACTGTGGGGAAAATCCAGGTTGTACCCTTGTGTTTAGCTTTCTCCTTCCTAGTCTCAAGTTGGCTGCTCTGTGTGCCCCACAACCCTGATCTCTCTACAGATATATGTTTTAATGCCAAGTCTGCCCAAAGGTCAGGGTGAAAGAAATGGGAGTGTTTGGGCCTGATTTCTTCCAAACCATGGTCCTTTTTGCAATTTATTTCATCTCAGGCTGGTAGTCCTTTCCTGCAAGAATTTTATGTTTTAGTCAACAGTTCTCCAGTTTCCCTCCATAATGTTTTTCCAGAACTTCACATTTACCAGTAATTGCATCAAACAAAGCCAACCTTAGCAACCCACAGGGGAGGCTCTGGTTGTTCTGTTTAAAGCAGAACAACTGAGGTCCAGAAGTTCTGTAACCAACAGCCTGATATATGCGTGTTCCTTCTCAGCGTCTCACCCTCCCTGCTGTCAGTCTCAAAAGGCCTCCTTAAGAAATTTTATCTTCATAGATCTTTTACATAAAGTCTAAAGATCCTCCTCTGTGTTTTTCATTCTTTTTCTTTTCTTTCTTATTTTTTGGAGGTAGTGGGGTTTGAACTCAGGGCCTCACAGGCACTCTACCAGGTGAGCCACGCCCCCAG